AAAAGAAGAGAGAAAAAGAAGAGAGAAAAGAGAGAGAAAGAGAGAAAGAGTGAAGTAAGGAAGGATGGAATGAGGAGAGGGAGAAAAAGAAAGGAGAAAGATAGGAGAAAGAAAGAGAGAGAGAATGGAGGGAGGGAAGGGGAAAAGATGAGAGAGGGAGGAAATGAGGGAAAGAGAAAGGAAGGAAGGAAAGAAGGAAATAAAGGGAGGGAGGGAAGAAGGAAGGAGAAAGAGAAAAAGAAAGAGAAAGGAAGAAAAGAGAAAAAGAAAGGAAGGAAGAGAGGAAAAAGAAAGAAAGAGAAAGAAAAGAAAAACTTGGAAATCCTTGTAATTTTCTCTCCAGAGTTCTGTGTTATGGGAATGTTGGAATGTGGTGATGTACTATTAAACTTTGGTAGGATGATCCCGTCACTCTAATCTGGAGAGGGATTCTGGGGTCAAAATGTTGCTTCCTTGTGCGAGCAAAATAATGATTGAGCAACAAATTGGGTAATTACGGATGCAAGAACTCTATCCTATATCACAAGACTGCGCTGTGCATTTTTTCTCTCCAAAACTTTCAATCCCAAGAATTATTTCAGTGACCAGGCTGACCCTCCCCTTCTATAGTCTGGAGGGGAAGCAGAGACCTTCACCACTCCTCCAGGACTTCTCATCCCTAATTCTTCTCCTTCTCCTTCTTCTTCATTCAGAACTTCTCATCCCTAATTCTTCTCCTCCTCCTCCTTTTTCTTCTCCTTCTCCTCCTCCTCCTCCCCTCCTCCTTCTCTTCTTCTCCCTCTTCTTTGTCTCCTTCTCTTTCTTCTTCTTCTTCTTCTCCTCCTCCTCCTCCTCCCTTTTTCAGATACATAGATGAAATTAAGAGTGTACAGGGCAATCTTGCCCTCTTCAAACCGAGGAAAAAAGAGAAATGAAGCATGTTGATTTAATTTGATATGTGTGCAGAAAGTCGGGTACGAACTTCCTAATTTCTGGAGAAAAAAAAACTGGAAAACAAATTTGGGGGTGGGGAGAGGGAAGGACTGGAATTCGTCCTTCAGGATCACTGGGGAGAGGAATACGGCAGATGGAAAGACAGGGAAGCCAAATAACCCAACAGCAGTAAATACAACGGCATCTGGAGCTTCGAAGATGCTTTGGAAGCGATGCTGGTTTCCTTTTTTTCCTGTATTTATTTATGTTTTAGTTGTTTGCAGCTCAGCTTTATGATTTTTTACAAGACACCAAACATCTCCAGCATATCCTCCTCTTTTTCTTCCCCAGGTGGGTTGGGCTGAGAGAGAGAGAGGCTGGCCCAATGTTACTTAGCCGGCTTTCATGCCTAAGGTGGGACTAGAACTCCCGGTCTCCTAGTGATTGACTCAAGCTCACATGGCTAAGGTAGAACTAGAACTCACGGTCTCCTAGTGATTGACTCAAGCTCACATGGCTAAGGTAGAACTAGAACTCACGGTCTCCTAGTGATTGACTGAAGCTCACATGGCTAAGGTGGAACTAGAACTCCCAGTCTCCTAGTGATTGACTCAAGCTCACATGGCTAAGGTAGAACTAGAACTCACGGTCTCCTAGTGATTGACTCAAGCTCACATGGCTAAGGTAGAACTAGAACTCCCAGTCTCCTAGTAATTGACTGAAGCTCACATGGCTAAGGTGGAACTAGAACTCCCAGTCTCCTAGTGATTGACTCAAGCTCACATGGCTAAAGTAGAACTAGAATTCCCAGTCTCCTAGTAATTGACTGAAGCTCACATGGCTAAGGTGGAACTAGAACTCCCAGTCTCCTAGTGATTGACTCAAGCTCACATGGCTAAAGTAGAACTAGAATTCCCAGTCTCCTAGTGATTGACCCAAGGTCACATGGCTAAGGTGGAACTAGAA